CAACATTGTAGAGCAGGCTTGTAACAGAGTCTAGAAATAGTGCTTTTAAAAGAACAACATTTTGGCCAGCCACGCAAATAAGCACACTAAACTCACTGATCCTTAGAAAAAGAACTTTCCACCTTTTAAAAGAGAAAAACACAGTAGATAATAATATCATGTACTGATGTTCTACAACAGAGAAGGTCCTGTGAACATATCATCTGATTTAATCTTCACTATACTTATTTGGTGGTTATTACTTTTTTGCATTTGAGAAAAATGAAGACCATGTTGATTAAATTAGTTTTCCAAAGCCACACAGAACTTAATATACCAGGAAGAGGCGAGGCTGGTATTACAATTCAGGTATTGCTAATCTCAAAGATCTTGCTCTTTCACTATACTCCAACATAGGCTATTAAGAGATAATGATCTTTTTGTTGATGACCCAATTGTGGCTTAGGTTTACATTTAGCAGATCACCTCCACACTGTGGTAGAAGGCCTTCTTCACTTCTCCTCTACTAACATAGGTACAAAAAGTAAAGAAATGGTATGGAAACTTCTCCCAAATATTTGCCTAGTTTTATTCAGTAGATAAGTAGGTATCTTCACATTAAGACATTTTGACTAGATAGGGGCTTGTAGCTAAGGACACTAGAGGATTATAGAAAGAGGTATCATCCTGTCAAGTTCATCCCTAGGTAACCACTGGACATTTCTATATTGTCTTCCTCTGCTTCTCCAAACTTACTTGAATATAGGTAGATAGGGAAATTGTTTTTTAAGAGATGGAACTTCTTTTCAACTTTACTGAGAAAAAATTTATGTAAACATGAACTGCATTCATTTAAAATAAAATTCTGTAAGTTTTGACAATTGTATACACCCACAAAACCACCACTACAATTGAGATACCAAATATTTCCAACACAACACAGTGGATTTTTAAAAATCATTTTATATTTTATGCATTATTCCATTTTCTATTTACATATTATTTCTGTAGGCCAACCTACTACTCAAAATAAAATATTGCAGTGATTTTTCTGAGTCAATAAAAACACATCTAACACACTTTTTAATAGCTGCATAGAATTCCATTTTATACATGTACTGTAATGTAGTCATCCATTTTTCTATTGATGGGCTTTATTCAGATTGTTTCAGTTTTTGAATGTTGTTTTGCTATTATAATCAATGCCACAGTAAAATCTTTATGCTCTTTATTCAAGTATTAGTAATTTTGTTTCTATAGGACAGATTCCTAGAAAGGGCTTTGCTGTGTCAGAAGACAGGTATTTTAAGATTATGGGTTATAACACTTTGCAAAGGGCCATCTAACTGAATATTTCTTAGGAAGTGGTCACTCCCTCTCCTACACTGTAGATTAGGGCACCTTACAATGCAATGAGAGCCCCAGAGCCTCACACACACACACATACACAGTGACTCCAGGGGCACAGGTGGAATTTTCTGTTCCATGGGGGCAGCCACAGAGCTTCTGTTCCTTCTGTTACTCTGAGGAAGTGCAAAGAACTGAGACAGGACCCACAGGGCCTATCTGATGCTGCCCTGCCTGCCTCTTTGTCCTCCTTCCCTACAGCGCATCTTCTGAATTCCTGGGCTAGAATCTTCCTTTCTTTCCTCCAATACACTAACCTTAGAGCTTTCCCATCTCTGTTCCCTTAGTTGAAAAAAATCTCCCCCAGGATCTTCACAAGGCTGGCTGGCCATTTCTGGTTATTCATGTATGAGCTAAAATGTCACCTTTTCAGGGACCCCTTCTCTGGTTACTAGCCACCCGATGTAATTACCTTTCTTCACACCCTCCTCTCCATCGTGCCATGTTTACCTCACAGCACCTTTCACCAAATGACCAGGAGTCAAAATCCATCTCTCTCTCCCCCAAAGCTTCTTTTCCACCTATTGCTCCCTAAGTCCATTACTCACACAATTGCTAGGGGGGTTCCTTATAAAATCCAGTAAAGGCAGGTTCCTCTCCCACTCGAACCCCTCATATTGCCTTCCACAGCACTTAAAGTAACAGCTCTCATAGCAGTTCACTAGGCTCAGGTGGAACCCCAGGTTTTCCCCAAAGGCCACATCAGCCTCCTGCTATCCCTAAGTACGCCTCAGGGTCGCCTCAGGGTATTTGTACCTGCGTGTTTTCCCGCCAGACACTGGACCTAGACACTCACGAGGCCCAGGCCCTGGCTTCCTTCAGGATTCAGATCAAAAGGCACATAGCCCCCTGACCCTGTCACACTTTGTCCTGCCTCTTATTTCTTCATAGCATTTATAATTAGTTAAAATTATGTTTATTTCTTTATTTACTTCTTCATATACTGTCCCTTTACCAACAGAGTGTAAGTTTCATGAGGTTATGGATTTTGCTCTTTCTTCCCTTTCTTTACCCTGCAACATATAGTAGATTCTAAATAAGTAATGTTTCAGAGCAAAGATGAAATTTGCATATCTCTTTCCCAACTGGAATGTAAGTTCCTTGAGGACAGGGACTTGTCTCTCTAGTTCATTACTGTATCCTAAGCACCCTGCACTATTCATGGCATATGATAGACTCAAAGTATGTATTTGTGAAGTGAGTATGAACGTGGCACTGATTAGCTTGGCATATGGTGATTATTTATTATGTACAGGTGTTGCTGGAATTGTATTTAGTTTTATTCAAAGGGATTTAAAATATGTAGAATATCTTCAAGACTACCTCTACTGAGTTGAGCAGTGTCCCCTCCCCCTGAGAAATCATGTCTGTTTGAACTTGTGAATATGACCTTACTTGGAAAGAGAAATGTAATCACATTGTGTGGAGGATGAAAGAGGGCCTTAATCCAGTGACTGGTGTCCTTATAAAAAGAGAGAAGTTCCAACATACACAGACCCAGAGGGAGATGCGAAGATGGAGGGAGAGACTGGAGTGAGGCATTTACGAGCCAACAAACCCCAAGGATAGCCAACACCACCAGAAGCTGGGAAGAAGCAAGGAGCAGGCCCCCTAGAGCCTTCAGAGAGAGCACGGCCCTGCCAGGTTAATTCTGGACTTCTAGGACTTCCAGAACTGTCAGAGAGTGACTTTCTGTTCTTCTGATCAACCCAGTTTGTGTACTTTGTTACAGTATTCTTAGGAAACTTACAACACTTTTGTTTAAAAAAAAAACAAACCCAAATGCTGTTGTTCAGAAGACATGATGTATCAATAACAAAATGGTCCTGACAAGAGTTTGATAGTGATCTGGAAGTTCCTCTGTTTTGAATGTCGGAGATTCTATGAAAGGTAGGATTGTTCAAGGTGAGAGACTAACCCTAAACTGGTCTGGCCTGTTGAACATTTACTTGAAGAAACTAGAAGTTATTCCTCCATGCCAGGGAGTAAGTGCTCAGGTTAACAGCAGGTGACAGGCAGCAAGCACACATTGCTATTATCTTTACTGACGGAAAGCTAAGAATATCTAAGTAAAGGAATCATATGAAGTTTTCTGAGACAATGTCTAGGAAAGCCAAAATTTATGTAAGTTTAACATGTAACACACCTAGACAGGTACGACACTCATTACAACACAGCATTTTGTAAGGAATGAGGCTTATCTGGCCTACAGTCACTGGGTAATAACACAATCCTAACTGAATTAGCCACGGGACATTATCAATACATATCACTAACAATATTGAAGGAGTTTCTTAACTGAAGACATTAGGAAGCAACAAGAACTGAGAAGAATTAAATCTGCCCTAAGAAAAAATAATTGCATACATGTAGAGAAAAATACTCTCACCTCTGCACCCCATTTGCCACTGTCCCAGTACACATATGAGGCTTGATTAGGAGAGAAAGGTGGGGCCGAGTGGGATGGAGGAGCCTGGGCATCCCAGGATAGAGCAGGCATCCTGCTGAGGTCTCAGGGGACACCCCCAGATAATCTGTGATGTCGCAGAAGGATGGGGTAAGAGGAAACAATTCCTTGTCTGTTCCAGGGGCAGAGCAAGTTTTCTTCCCTACTGGAAATTTCTACTCAAGCATGAGAGAAAGGAAAAGGCAGAAAAGGCCACAGTCCTCTTTATGGGACCTTCTGATTCTCGTGTGTTGAATAAAATTAAATTATTCTTTTTTTTGCCTGGCAAACATGATCACTACCAACAATTGCATATGGTTCAACTCAATGCATTCTGCCCGGACTTTGGGGGAGGGGAGAAACCTCCACACTGAGTCCTAAGTGAGGATTCCCAGCATGTGTGACAGTCTCAAGTCCCTTGATGCAGAGCCTGGGGATTTAACTCTTTTGCTTTACCACATCCCATTAGCAGAGCTCAATCAACCTTACTTTCAGGGATGAAGATGTTTAAATCTATCCTAAAAGGTGGTTTTTTTGTTATATATTTTTTCTCTAACTTGTATATCACAGTGTTTTAAATATAAATTGTCAGTTTGCCGTAGTTCTTTTTTTTAATTAAAATGACCCTTTCAGTTTTAAAGCACAATAAATAGGTACTTTATTCTCTCTGATCTCTTCTCCACTAAAGCATGCCTGAAGAGGAGCCACTGTCCACCAGGGAGCACTCCAAAGCCAGGCAGCCTGCTTAGGGAGAGCTGACCGTCCCATCTGCCACCAGCTGCACTGTGATGCAGCGATTCAGTTTCCCTGGCCCGAGCTGTTCAGGAGAGGAAATAAAACTGGTCACTGAAATACCAAACACAGCTGTGCCAACTCCATCTTATTTTTGTCTTAGTAGTAAAAAAGCTTGAAAGCAGTAACTTATTTGTCTTGAGGGAAGAAGGAGGCAACGTCAGAGCTCTGAGACGATGTCTGCCACAGCACTAGATGGAGGTCAAGTGATACACACCGTCCAAGAAGTACCTGCAGGAGAATTGCCTATTTTACATTTATTAATACTGCTCTGCCTGCCCCTCAGCGTGGTACTGGTCAGTGCCTGAGGCACCATTACTTTATTTTCTAAAGGGAAGTCCATCCATTCTGAGAGACTCTTTGCACACCAACCTACCTTCTCCTCACTGCTTTCCTGGAAACAAAGGTGTCACAGGAGCCAGGGCAACACAGTTGTAGGAAGATCCAGCAAACATTCCTCAGGGCCTCTCCAGTTTGCCATGGGCTCTTGTAACCTAGACAGCGAGAGCCACAAAGAGAAAGTTTAGTGGGAGCTGACAGGATAATTTAATGGAAGTTCTTCCAACAAATGCAATGTGTGTTCAAATAACATGAAAAGAACCAAGGCCTCTGAAAAACAAATAAACAGCAATATGAAAGGCAAGGCCAGAAGCACAGCCAAAAAAAAAGTTTTTTAAAAAGATGCTGAGAAGATAAAGATGCTGGGTGCATTGACGGGCCTTTCTTCATAGGGGTGTTGTCCCTTCTTATTTCAATTTAAACTTGGTTCCAGCCCCTTTCAGCGTCAAAGAGCAAAGTGAAATGTAATCATCATGCTTTACATGCCTTTCCTGGAGTCTACTACATAGACAGGGAGTTTGTTCAAGCTCTGGATAGGGTATGTTATTGAAGTGTTGGCATTTTTAATCTTAAAGGATAGGATATTATAATAAAATATCTGGTATTGGTAAACAAATTCTCCAAAATCAGCACAGAAAAACAAATCCAAGCCCTAAATACCCTTGATTGTAGTTGATTTTCATTCCCTTTTTGAAGAGTTCAGCTTTTTCAAAGAAATTAAATGTAAGGTATTTCTTACAAGTTACGTTGATCTTCACGTGAAAAAGTTGCTACAAAAATTAGAAATGATCCTGATGCCAATGCAATTGAACAGAATAGTGATCATATCTGTTCTCAACAGATTTGTCTTAAAAAATTGTAAGACACATACAATATATTCACATTATCAAGTCTCTAAAATGCTTTCAAAGTCAGTAAACTGAAACCTTCGGTGAAATACAGTTCATTTCCTGGCTTTGGTTAACTTAGGTGGGTGCCACTGGTTAAGTCACATGTAGAGTCGATGCCATGTTGAATTTGAACCACATACTGCATCATTCCCAAACCAAACAGCACCCAGGCCTCCGTTCTGTTTTCTCTAACTCAGTGCCCTGAAGCTCAGGCTGAACTTGAGCTTTCAAAGTGACATGTTAAGAGGTAAGTGGATTGGACTTGGAGTAACTGACAAAAAAATCAACACCAGTTCATGTCATCTCTGACTGAAGGACAGCCTTGAACTTTCTTAGACTTGCTCTTTTTTGTTTTGATATTTCTGTTGATTGGGTCTGAGTCAACACTGGAAGAACTAAAAATCTGTTGGAGGTAGTTAAAAATTTCTGCACAGAGTCATGGGCCAGAAAATCATCTGGAATTGCCTGAAATCCTTAGTTCACACATGCATTTGTAGAGCCTTTGCTACTAAAGAGTAGGAGATTGAGATCTCAACTGTCTGCTTTCTAAGAACTGAAAATCCTAGAATACCTCCCTGTTATTCATCCTTGATCACTTAGGAGAAAAACAGAGCTGAGTGCAGCACTCTGGAACCCATTGTTAAGATCATTACGCAGAGTCTATTTGAGCAGCATAAAAGCTGTTGAACAGCATAATGATTTAACCAGGGAAACACACAAAAAAAAATTTCTGCATTCTGTCATGAACCAGGGGACAGTGTACGAGCACTTGTAGACATATGGGGGGAATTTTTATGGCTAATGGAAGGACTAGAAGGAGGTATCAGAAACCAGTTTGGGGAAGTGAGAGAATTACCTCACATGACACTTTGATATGTGACCAGCTACAGGGAGAGTCTCTGAATTCTCCAGTTGCTGCCAGATACATGGACCCTTTTGAGGGTAATGATTGGAACAGACTCATTCCTGCCTACCTTGTCATGGATTGTGATTAAACCCAAATCTGTTACACTAGCCACGGTTAATTGTACCAAGGAGTGAGGCCCCTTTGGAAATGGGACTATAGCCTTGCTATAAGAAACTGCACATATGTATGAACAGGCATTTGTTCGGGCATATAATTCTAGAGGCTTCTATGGATCCCCAAAGCCTCAGGTCAAAAATCCCTGATGCCAGAGAAGCTAACCAACAAAGAAGTGAATTGCTGGGAAGCATTTTTAGTTGGCGAGCCCCATGGCGAGAAGCCGGAAGCTGACTCTATCAAACACTGTGAGGTGGGAGGGGAACAGAGAGAAGACACAATTACCTCTCTGCCCTTTGTCTGTAGCTAAGAAGTCTGTTGTGAATTATCATACCAGCTTTGAGGCTCTGGGACCAGAAGGGATTATGCAGTTGATGAAGAAATTTCCTCCCCTACCCAAGTTCTTTTACATTCTTACAACAAAATCCCATCACTGAAGGTGATGTGGATACGACTCCTTATGGGAACCTTGAAGAACACAACGAATACAGCTGCCGCGACATGGGATGACCTGTCCCACTAGTGCTACTCAGCTGCCTCCTGGAAATCTGGCTTCCCTCATGTCTACCTTTTCTCTGCAGCTTCACAGCAAAGACAGGACTGCCCCCACAGGCCAGCCCTTAGCCTAGACACTGATTGTCTTTATTCAGACACCTCTTGTTTGCCTCTGATTGTGGGCATGGAAGTAGGCAGCTGCACTCTGAAATCAGTAATCTAGTAACTTGCAAAACAAGTGCCGACAAAGGTTGCCCAAAAGAAGGCTATGAGGGCGAGAGATTACATCTTGATTAGTACTTGCACAGATTTCTAGAATTTTGTTGCTGTCCTTCAGTGCAGTGTTTTTGAAAAGAATATTAATCAAGATGAGTCACACCCAAAGTCACACAGGTTGTGGGAAAAAGAAATACCATGGAAAGCCATAAAGATCAAGTCTAAAGAGCGTGCAGGACACCAACACTCACTCACACACACATACACACACACACACACACACACACTCTCACATCCGTAGCAAAGGCTCATGTTCTGGTATGTAAGAATAAGATGGAACAAGGGATACTGAAGATTTGGGTAAATATCCAAACCAGAAAGGAGAACCCATTAAGAGGCTTTAGAGAGAGTCGTGAAGAAAAATGGATAACTGCTTTTCTAGAATGGATTATTTTAAGCCAGGGGATTAGATAAGATTCTCTCATTCCTCATTTCTGGAATTAATAATTTTGAGGAAAATTTCAAGAAAGGATTAAGGGAAGGCCAAGTGGTTTTCTGAGATAGATTATGAGGAAATATTTTCTGTCTTAAAAAAATGTGTTCCCTGCAAAGTGATGTTAGGTAACCGGCAGCTGCTTAGGTAGAAAATGCTGAACTGTCTGGGGTCGTTTCTCACCAGCAATCATAAAAGCAGCAGTAACAGTAACAAACCCACCACCCCATCACCTCAACTCTCATGCCCTGTGACTCCACAAAGCCCCCAGTCTGATCCATCTCTCAGACCTCCCAAACTCCTCCAGACCCCCCATTGGACCATCTGGAATCAGCCTTCTGATCAGTGTCTCCTGCATCTTCAAACATGTGGGCTAGTGTTTCTGTTAATACATTATTTTCATGAAAACCTGGTTTCCGTGGTTTTTCCTGGGACCCTCTCAAGGGGACTGCTTTCTTTCCCACAGTCTTGTTCCACCAGATCTGGAGGTAGAGAATGTTGCCCTTTTTGACCCTCACTGTCCCATCCACATACTATACTCCCTCCTTCACAATGCCCTTCTCTGAAGTTCTGACATCAGACTGCCATCAGACTACACTAGCCCTTCTCTTTATAGCTATATCTATTTCTTTAGGAATATATATGCATCTCCCTCATTTGTTGAAGATTTTATCTCCAGGTTCACTGTTACTGTCATCTGACATCATTTTTGGTGATCTTAATATCAGTGTAAATTATTCCTCTGATACCCTGACCTCTCAGTTCATCAACCTTTTCTCCTCCACCTTTTCTCAGCTACCCACTCCCATACAGTACCCTGGCTTTGTGATTACCAGCACCTGAATACCATCCATGATCTCACTTTCAAAGATCCTATTCTCCAATCATCTCCTTACCTCTGGTATCCCAACTCCAGGAACATTGAGACCCCACAAAATCAACAGTCCTTTAAATCACTTACCTTTTCAATATTCCTCACCCATTCTGTGTTCTAATTTCTCTCCTCACCTAGTTTTTATAACATGGTCCAAAATTACCACCATCCCTTCGCATTCTCAACACCCTCCTCTCCTCTCTTTTCCTATTGTACTACCTTGGCATAGTCCCAAACCTAGTTAGATCCTGGTCCTCCACCTTTGCATGACTGTACTTGTATAGCTGAAGATGGTTAAAAAAACACACAACCATTCTGACCAGTTCTCTTAAAATTCATGGACTCCATTGCACATGTATCCTTTCATTATACTAATTTTTTTTTTTACTTTCTCTGGTCCATTCATTCCCATCACTTCTCCAATGCCATGTGCCCCCCAGAACCAGGGGGCCAGAAGGTATTCCTTTCTTTAACCATCTGGGCAGGACCTGTGACAACCAGAACCCTTGAGCCACTGGTCTCCTGACCCAGTAACCTTGTTCAGGGCACCAAATGCCCTCCTAATGACCTAGAGTGCCACTCAACTCTTCTCATTTATGTGTGCCACGACTTCAAACTGTTTGGTAAGCTGTCTTAGATAATAGTTCACACTTTCTTCTCCTTTCATTCCCAAAATTTCCTTTCCCATCTTCATGTTTGATGTAATGGTTTTCTTCCTATTTAATTGATAAAAATTGAGTCAGTCAAAAGAAAACTTTCCTTTTAGAAAATTTTAAGAAAATTTAAAATTTCCTATCCCCACATATGCCATCCACGGGCTTTTTCTCTTGTTCTTGTGATTAACATCCATCCTCCTCACAAAAGGCAAGCCCTTCTCTTAGGACGAGGTCCCTTCCCTCTCACCTACATATTGTACTCTGGGTAAATGCTCAGCATTCCCCCAAGTGCCACCAGTTCCTCTTCTCCTTTGGCTGATCATTCCTATGTCCAGTATACCGATAGGATGTTATTTCTCTTACCTTAAAAACAAAAAAAAATTGACCTCATTTTTCCACCCATCTCTCTCTTTTCCTTTAAGCAAAATTCATAAAAGTTGGTACTCACTGTCTCTAATTTCTCTCTTCCCAGTCTCTTGAATACCATACTAAAATGTCTTTGTAGAAGTCACCAATGGCATTCATGATGCTAAATACCATGGTCACTTCTCATTTAATTGACCTACAACATTTGACTAGATTAATCACTTCCTCCTCCTTGAAACACATTCTGAACTTGGATTTGAACACTGTTCTCTCTGAATTCTCCTCCCCCATATCATGTGTCTCTTTCTCTTTCTCAGGGCCTGCAAAGTTAGACTGTCTCAGACTCTCAGTGCTTTCCTATATTCCTTCAGACCCTAGGTCATCTAATCTGAAAGCTTCCTCAGACTTTAAAGTGCCCATAGATCCCTTGGGGATCCTGATAAAATGCCAATACTAACTCAATAGTTCTGGGATAGGGTCTGAGATTGCATTTCTAACAAGCTTTTAGGTAATATTTGTGCTGCAAGTAGCAAGAATCTAGTTCACTCTCCTGGCATGAAACACAATCTACATTTTGATGACTTTTATATTTCTGTCTCCAGTCTGGACTTCTCTCCTAAACTTCAGACTCATTTATTTAACTATTTGCTTGTTATTCCACATGGAGTCCTCTAATTTGACACGTCTAAAACATGTCTCCCAGATCCTGTCCCCACCCTCAACCATCTTCTTCAGTCTTCCCAATCTTAGTAAATAACAATTTCATTGTTAAAACTCACATCAAAACCTTTAGCATCTTGAGCCTTCTTTTCTACCCTGTATCCAACCTGGGCACCAAAACTTGTTGCTTCTACCTTCAATATACATGCAGAATCCAGCCACCTCTGAGCTCACCACTGTTGCCACCCCAGCCCGATCTGCTGTGGCCTCTCACTTGGACTTCTGCAGCAGACTCCTGACTGGTCCCTCTGCTTTACTCCCCACCTCTTCAATCTAGTCTCAACCACAGCAGCAGAGTGACCCTGCTAGAATGTAACTCCAACCACTTCGCTTCTCACTCAAAACACTCCAGTGGTTTCCCTTACTACTTTGAATGAAAGCCAGTGTTCTTACAGAAGTTTCTGTCATCTGTCCACAGCCCTTTTCCCTGTGGTTCTATTTCCCTAACCTGGACAGCGGGCCTCCTTGCTGCTCCTCCAGTGTGCGCACCATGATTCTGCCTTTGCTTTTGCTCTTCCATGTGCCTCAGTCCTCTTCCTCAAGATACCCACATGGCTTCCTGACTTCACTCAGGTCTCTGCTCAGTTGTCACCTTACTAACCGGACTTCTCTGACTGCGCTTTGTATAAACCTCTAACTCTGCTTAATTTCTCTCTTTAGTTACATCTGCTCTATTACACGGTTTAACCATTTATTTTCTGTCTTTGCCCACTAGAATGTAAGCCTCACTCGTGAGGCTGAGGACGTTGCCTTCTTAGTTTGCCACTGTATCTCCAGCACCTAAAACACGTAGTGGCACTCAATAATTTGTTGAATGTCCGGTTAAGAAATTCCACCTGATGTCACCACTGCTTTTTAACTAAGTGCCTCTGAAGCACCCTCAGGCGCCAGGCACCACTCCACGTTCTTGTCCTTGACTGACAAGCTGCAGTCTCCCTGGTCTAACTGCTGATGCTGCAGGGGATTACTGAGCATCCCAGCTCTTTCAAGCCCGCTCAGAAAGCCCAGCCTAGACAGCGAAGGTTCTCGGCTGGCTGCACATTAGAATCGCTGGGCAGCCTTTTAAACTGTCTATAACCTAACCTCATTCTCCCAAGATTCTTCTTTAATTGGTTTGGGCTGGGGCCTTGTCTCAGGGTTCTCTCAAGTTCTCCAGATTTTTCTCATGTTCGCCCAGGCTCTGCAGCCTGCTCTGATAACTGTCATTGTCTCAGCTCAGGCTGCTGCACCACCCCTGGCTGGGGGGCCTAACCAACACACTATTTGTCACATTTCTGGAGGCTGGAAGTCTAAGGTCAAGGTGCAGGCGGATCTGGTGTCTGGTGAGAGCTGGCTTCCTGGCTCAGCCGTGGCAGTCCACTCGCCGTGTCCTTATGGGGTGTGGAGAACCAGAGAGCATGCTGGGATCTCTTGTATAAGGCTCTGAAGGCTCTGCCTTCATGACCTAATCACTTCTCAAAGGCTTCACCTCTTAACACTCTCACACTGGAGATTAGATTTCAACAGATGAATTTGGGGGTACACAAACGTTCAGTCCATAGCAATTCCTTTGATCTCAAAAGGATAGACTTGGTCAGTGGGTTTTTAAAACTTTAATGTGAATAAGAATCACCAGGAGGGTTTGTGAAAACAGTTTTCTGGGAAGACACCCCATTATCCTAATTCAGTAGGTTGAAGGGGGGGACATGCATTTCTACTTCTAATAAGCTCATAGGTAACACATGATGTGAGCTCTGGGACCATACTTGAGAACCGCTGGTCTAACTTTTCCAGGTTAATATCTCTGTGGAGAAACTTCCAGTATCCTTCCAGGGACTGGGCTTAGAGGCTTAGTGGGATGGCACTTCCTGCAATCCTGGCCATATGCTCCAGGCCCCTCTGCCGGGAAATCTAGCAACCGAGGCACTTTCATTCTCTCCTCAGAATAAGTCCCCTCCCCAATAGCGAGGCTACAGCTCATTTTCATTTTTGGGGAAACTTGGCTCCAAAGAGTGCATTGATTTAGCATTTATCTAAAGTATTTATACACATATTTCTTAAACTCCAATTTTGTACCCGGCACTGGGTTTGATGCTGGAGAATACAACAATGTGCTCCTGCCACAGCAAAGTTAACTGCCTGCCATAAAGGGTTTTCTGAATATCTATCACAGATTCACAGGCAGCCTGTGGGATTACTCCAGCCCCAGGTGGGAATGAAGATTAGGCTTCAACTGGCGCTTTCCCTTTAAGAAACAAAAAGTAGGCACTAGCTTCCATAAGCAGACCCTAAAGGATGGCAGATGGAAACACTGTTGAGATGCAAATATCTTCCAGCCAATAATAAGGATTTCCCATTCCCTTTCCTTACTGAATAAATATTCAAGGCCATCCTTTCCCCAAACATAGTGTTAAGTAGCACAAGAAAGTAGGACTGCATGGCCAAATAAATTGGGGGAAAATGCACATAATATTCCACTTTTAGAGTAAAAAAATGCACCTTTGTATATTAAATGCTCTGAGAAGTCCTGCAGTAACCTTTTACATCCCACTAAACAGACTGAGAAACTACTTATTTAGGTCAATCCAAGCCTTTTGTCATTATTGTCAGACTTTGGGCTATGTTAGAATCATTTAGACATTAGCAAAGACTATTAAAAATCAAAGATAGCTACAAGCCTGAATTTTGGTAGTGCTGGAAAATATGAGCTTTATCCTGCCGTGAGCATTCTGTTTTTCTAAGGGGATTTTCTGCAGCTTGAGACTCCGTGGGAGGTTGGGGAAGGGCTGGCTGGTAGGCTCTGGAAAGAGGAACGTATAACTAGGAAATGGTTCTCTAATTCTGTGAGATAAGCATCTTCCTTCTGATGAGAAACAAGTCTAAACTTTCCAGTGGCTCAAAATCCAGGAGTACGATGTGATTTCTGGAAAGACATAACCTCTCTGAGGCTCGCAGTTCTTAGAACCTCCTCCACGGGGATTGTGTGAGGAATGAAATGAAGGTTATATATATATAAAGCCCATGGCCCTTATTCAGTGGGGAAAAACAGAGTTGATTCAAAGAGTCACCCAGGAAATGGAAGATCAGAAAAACTGAAAACCACAAGGATTAGTAATAAGCTGGAGAGCAACTTGCCAAACAGCAAAAGAAGGAGCTCAGTGGACCTGCTCGCAGTGAAACAACCATTACTGGTAAAAATGATTAAACAGCCATTTAAACTCTCTGTAAATTGCAACAGCATATAGTACAGTAAGTGAAGAAACATTTATTTAAGAAAATATAGTAAATCTTAGTAAGAACAGCAAAAACTCCATGGCACTTTAGCTATCTAACTGCTCCCTCTTCCCTCCTCTAGGTCAGCGTGACAAAAGCTCTACTCCAGGCTGTTATGACCAAGAAGGTAAGGTCCCCTCTCCCCACAGTTCACAGTGGGGTGCAGGCCAACAGCATCTCACATTTGCCGTCTATGTTGCAGAGGCTAAATTCCAGATGAGTGCAACGAAGTCTGGGGCTCCCTCCCTCCTCCCAGTCCCCATTATACAGGGCAGAGGCTCATCACAGGTGTGGCAGGCCAGGAATACTGGGGCCCCAGCAACCTTACCCTAGCTCATTCTCAGTGTGGAAGTTCTCACCAGGAGAAGCCCACTTCGGGGACCAGAGCCTACCACCCCCACCCCTTTGCTGTAAAGCTGGGGTGTGTCGCCAAGAGAAGTGGGAAACTGCTTGCCTCCAGCTCTGCAGCACGCCTCAGAAATGCTGCCCAGGCAGAGTGGCACACCCTAAGGACAGAGAACTCTCCCCAGAGGAACAGACCTCATTTGAAACAGAGGGTGGGGGAAGCTCAAGCCAAACAATGGAGATTTTAGGTGGTAAGCAATTGAAAGTAGCTCCATAAGAACAACAAACTAAATAAACCAGTAGGCCAGTTAGTTTACTAGAGACAGACAAGGGAAAAGACAGCTAAGAAAAAAAAAATAAATCTAAACATGTCTCCAGTGCTAACAATCACACAGAGAGAAAGTATTGCAAGCGACTTTTAAAGCACAGTAATTTGCCTGTATCTTTCTAGTGGAACATACCCTGAAGATGAAAAGAACTATGAGGGAAAATAAGGAAAAGGAAATGAAATATTTTTCAGTAGTCACAGTGTTGGTTTTGTGTCGTTCTGTTATTTTAAAACTGGAATGGAATAGAACAAGTGAATAATTACATGACATCCTAATTTTTAAGACTGTTAGTGTTGTCAAGAACTGGGATTCATAGCATGGAAGAAAAAAAATACAGATAGAAGAAAGAAGAGGGTAAGTAAAAATCTTGTAGTCTTGAATTTGAGTTGGAAGTAACAGCAGGAACTAATGACATATTTTCAGCACAAAAGATACAGTAATAGGCAGAGATGCAGACATAAATATAGAAGTAGACAAATAAAGATGCATTTCTTTATTTAATTCAAATCCATTATATGTTTTATTTCTTAGCTCAATTCCCTGGGAAAACAAATCCAATAACCAATTCAATAGCAATGAACAACTCAAAGGACCAAATTTTGGTCTCCAAACAGCGTTTCCCACTGAAAGGAAACAGGGCTCCCTGAAGAAGTGGTTAACCCCGTGTTGGCAAACGAGTTTAGGGTATACACAAGTAAGCTTAGATTATCTTGTCATACCAAAATGCAAGGAAACTATCAAAACATATCAGGTTATTTCAAAAGGCTCCGGAGCCAACTATAAGAAGCTGTTGGATCTTTACTGGAAATAAGGAGAACAGAAACTTGTTAAACACAGCTATGGAGATGAAAATAGCAAAATCCAGACTGTGGGAAATTGCAAAGAATAAACAACCCTGATTCTTCAACCAGTAAATTGCCTTAAAAGAGAAAAAAAAAGGAAATGGAGGGAAACTCTCGAAAGGGACTTAAGAGATATATGGACCAGTCACAATATGTGAACCTTAACTGGACTGTGATGCGGACAAACTACAGGCAGTCCTTGTTTCGTACCCTTCGGATATGCATGGACTTCCGTTACGGCAGTTCAGTTAAGTAGTAATAGTCCCCCCAGCAACATGGTTCACATTTCAATTACCACAGCATATTAACTGAATAATTGCATAAAGCGTAAACGTTGCCACTAGCTCCTCTGTCCACAAATCACTATGTAAATAATGGGTTTGCCTCATGCTCAGTAACCAATCACACCATTTCTTTCTAAGTCTGTTGGTGACTATTCCCCGCACAACTGTTCTTCAACACACTCACAAACAGTGAAGGGTGTGAAGTGTGTGGTTGTGTTGCCTCTTCATCTGTCAGTGAT